CCCCAAAACCCCAAAACCCCAAAACCCCAAAACCCCTCTTCAATATCTTAAAATTGAACAGTCAGTCCAGCAGAGATAAGCTCTAGAAATACTTGCTTAAGCTTTTCTCCATTTTCTTGACCGCAGTCATTACGTTCTTTGCTTTAAACTGTTTCTGAGTCACGAGGAAGTCTAGCAATTTCTCTGGCTGAGGAGAATGAAACTTAGTATCAACATCAGCCGCTCTGGCAACATTTGGATGTGTGAATAAGCCTCTTACATGCTCGATCTTTTTGATACAGTCTAGAGGATTTAAATGAGATCTCCCACCTTGTTCAGTGTCATTGGCATCTGTTATAACAATCTTACGTTTTCTCTTTTTGTTAATATTCTCCAAATCATTGACAACTATGAGTTATTGGATCGTCATACTTGATTCAATGTTTTCATACTTCTGAATAAAGGAAAATGCAGTTACAGGACCGATGTTTTGAGGCTTCGGAAGGTAATCACATCCCAGAAGAATTCAAACATCAATGAATTGGCTCATTGAGAGATTCAGTGAGCTCAAAATGTCCTCTAGCATAATTTCTGTAAAGTTCTTTGATGATTTCATTCCCCTATTTAATAGAGTAGAAATATGAAATTGGCAAATTTTAGTGAATTCTGGTACATACCTGATTAATGATTTAGCTCCAAATGCTAGTCAATCAAGGTCTAAAGTTAATGGAAGAAATGTACCTTCACTAACAACTCCCCTTGCAACCCCTGCTTTAACAAGTTCTCAGCACTGAGCTTCTGCTTCCGAAGGAGATTCAAAAGCTGGAATACCCATATACTTGAGCATTAATTTTGCATCCTTTCTGTGAGTTTTATTGATTCTGACTACCCTCTCACTCATCTTCTTCTCAAGCTCCACGTCCTTATCCTCTTGAGCTTGTTCTAATCGCTGCTGGGCGCATTCCACCCTGGATTGCCGATGATCGATCAGCTCCTTCTTCTCAAGCGGAGAGGGTCCATCAAATATCCAGACAGGTTTGATTCCATGACTCAGTCTAAAAGATCATGAATAAGATTACATTTTATTCGTTCTATGTAGAATTCCTATCAAATGTCCAGTTCGGTTTCCCTCTAATATTAAGCCAGAAAGTACCAGAATCTTCAAGAATCTTGATCTGCCTCTTCTTGTTCAAACTAATAGTGCTGATTAAGAACTGGTACATTGCCATTGTAGCATCAATTGCTATAAAATAAGCAAGGCTTAATACCGACAGTTTGGGACTGGAGGTCCTTATACTGCCGACTGTAGATAGCTTGTGGTGCCTTCTTGTTCAACAAAGGCATCAAGTTCTTTATGCCCATTATAAATTAATTTAAATCAAGTATTTAAGATTGGCAAGGGGTTTTGGGGTTTTGGGGTTTTGGGGTTTTGGGGTTTTGGGGTTTTGGGG